CAATACCTGAAATTTAAAAATAAAGCCATGAAAGCTTTCTTTTATCTCTCTTTCAATCATTCTTGAAAGACAAACAATTCTTTAGAGACAAAAACAAAAAGTTTTAAGGTACAAAACTACGACAATTTTGATTATCAAAATATTGACATTGATGACCACAACCATATGGACATTCATCATGTATTTTAAACCATGTTTGAATATGATCAATATGACCACCATGAGAACAAACACCACAAAATGAAAATAGGCCACGACATGGTATTCGACTAAAAAAGAATATTCACAATTATAATCATTAATTAAAATAAGAAAATATTTTTTCTCTTTCTTCTGATTCTTTATGATCAAACTAAAAAATAGACTAACCAAATAGAACACATAAATTCTTTAACTATAGACGGAGAATTTTTGCTAGTAGAAGATATTGTAGGAGAAGTAATTGCTGAAAAACGTTTCAATGTTGGAGTTTGTACAGCAAAAATAATACTTCCATCAAATTCACTTGGATTATAACTAAGAGGAATTCCTTCATTTTCTATACAATGTTTTGTTACTTGTTTAGCTTTCACAAATAAACGCATTTTTTGTAATAATTCTATAAAAAGAAAAAACAAAACTATTATTAATATTAATAATAAAAACCTAACACATACCAATATACATAACAAGCCATTGTAAATGTGCTCCATTGAATAATTCAATACGTTTACGTTCATTTAGTTGTGGATACAATGCTAAGAGAAGATGAACGGCTACTTGAAGTTCATTCTATATAAAATAGAAATATTTCAATATTTTAATATTTAACATTGACTTACATTTTCTATATAATACCAAAGTGTTTGTCGAATAACATCATCAAAATTTAATGAATGTTTTTGTATTGTAGGACAATAACTTTCATCAATTGTAAAAAAATTTTCGGAATCATCAGGTATAGTTGAATGTATAGATGTTTGCATGTTACCAGTAGTACTAAAAAACGTCTTATTGAAATTGAATAGATCCATTGAATATTACGAGGGAATATCCCGAGCTATCGGATACTGATTGAGCTCCTATTTATGTCATAAGTAGGACTCGATAAGATTATTGTATTTAAGGCTTATTCTGGAAGATTCTTTTTATACTAAACGTTAAGGTATGATAGATTGGTTATGGTCTGAAATTTTTCAGTTAACCAGCTCCGAAAATTTTGGATTCGATGGATCCTAGTTGTCTGAGAACTGTGTAGAGTACACTAGTCTCTGAATACAAAAAGGATCCAAAAAAAGCTCGTATTTTCGAAGCGACTAATTCATTTCTATTAAAAATTCAGGATGGAGGCTAAAAAATGTGATTTTTACCTGGCAGTTCTTTATGGATGACCTCCAATAAAGTCGACAAGTCTCCGACATTCAATATTTCAATAAAAATATATATTTATATGAGCTAAAATTCTTAAAATATTCTAATTATTTTAAGAACTGTCTATAGACGAAATTTTAGGTGAAAATCTTATAATTCATGTTATCATAAATATCTAACCTAGAGGCTGAAAACCCAACAAAACAATCATAACTTCGACTAGGTAAGGCATAAATGCGAATTTTTTAAAGTTTCGACTGGTTTCATCGAATCCTACTTATGAGATAAATAAGAATCAAATCAGTATCTAACAATTAGGGATATTCCCTTGTTTGCTGAGCAATGGATTGAGGAAATGAAGGTTTTTTTCCGCTTTAACCTATTATTGGTGAACTGGTTCAGTGTTATATTCCGCGATTGCAAAACAATAATATCAGATTCTTTTCTTGTTAAAAACAAAAAAAAAACTCAGGAAACTTACCTATCATATTCATTTTCATGTCTCATTTCATCATCATCATCAAGTATGATTACTTCAGTCAATTGACGAGTTATACGATTCAATGAAAACTTATTACAATCTCCATCTGTATTTGTTAATGGTAATGGTTCATTGAATATGAGTGGTATAGATAATGAATCTCGTCTTAATCCAAGATCGATCTAATATTAAAAGACAATATTTTTATGGATTAAAGATAAAAAAAAAAACGTTTTAAAATTTACATCATTATCGTATGACATATCATTAGTATTACCATAATTTAATACATCCTCAGGTGTGATAAAGATGATATCATCCGTGAGCACATCTCGAACAATGTATGTCTCTGTATCGTCAATCATTTCTATAAAAGAAAAAGTAGTTTTTACATCAATAGAAACAATGATAATGATTGTGCACTGTGTTGTATTTTAATTAGTGCGTCCTGCAGGACAAACAATATTTGGGATTCGAAAAAAGTTTTTCCTTCAGGACTCTAATTTTAAGAGGAAATAAAAATATAGTTACAAAAATATTAAAAGAAAAATAATGGATTTTGAACTCATCCGAAAAGATCACTAAAGATTTGATAGAATCTAAAATGATATTTTATACGTTTTAAATCTTTGTAGAAATTATCATTTTTGTTTTTATAATATAAGATTAGAATCTCATTATGGAATGTACAGATTGGAAAAAGCTATTGTTTACTTCTCTTCTTTAACTAGAAAGAATCAGTGATAAATCCGAAATAAATTTGATCTAAAATGTAATCATAATTTTAACCTAATTTGGAATTAGTTAAAATTCTTTGTTCTTGTAATTGAATTCTTTTTTCATCAGTTAATTCATCATATGATCTATTATCTTGTCGTTGTTTATCAATAATGGTTAATTTTCTTCCAGGTTGATGATAATGATAACGATGATTACTTATGGAATCACTAATATGATGACTAATAGTTATTGATTGTGAAGTTTTTGATGAATATGTTCGATAATTTTGTAAAGCATCATAATCAACATATAACATTTTAATAACTTGCCATGTTGCTTTTAAATCTGGTCGATTTAAATCTTCAGAAACTGTACTATTAATATCACAAATATTTGCTAATGCTATTAATGATTTATCACCATTACCAAATATCCATCGTCGAGCAAATTGATGAAATAATTGAATTGAATTATCATGTAAAGTATTTGAATAGATACCAAGAATACTTTCTCCTTTAATAATTTTATCCCATTTTAAAAATGTTGATAATGTTTCTTGAGAATATAATATTCGTAGATTTGATGATGATAATGGAATATGTTGTTCATTATATAATGAACGTACATAATCATTATCAATATTTGGCATTGAAATATATATAGAACCTTTTGATGTAACATTTAAAGAAAAAATTGAAACAATTTGTTCACTTTGAACTGCACTTGATATATGAGCATGAATAAGACGTTCATCACGACCAACTGATATTATATTATCAGAATTAGGTCGCCATAGAAAATCTTCAATATCATCTAAAGAAAACTTTTTTTTTGTAAATAATTTATTATCTTTGATCAAAAATAAAAACAGTTCTATTTTCTATTTCATACTTCGATGATGACAAAATGATGCTTGTGGTAAATAAGGTCGTCGAATATCCCATACATGAATACGTGGATCAGCTGTACGTGTAAAACATGCAATATGATAGCGACATGTTGGACGCCAACTAAGCTTAGTCACTTGACCAAATGTATATACCGTAAATAATGGTTCTTGTCGACTATCATTACCTTTTCCATCCCAAATCTTTTTTTTTATTAATATAAAAAATAATCATAGAAATGATGATGAATATAATATTAACTTACACGTATTGTCCGATCATGACCACCAATACCACCTGTAGCAAGCCAAAAATGTTCATGAGGATTCCATGCAATACATAAAACTTTATCTCGTGTAACAATAGAAAAATCAGGTTGTGTAGGTTGTCGAATATCCCAAATCTTAGGAAAAATAACAAATATAAGATAACAATGTTCTTTTTAACTTACTGGTACACTATATTGATCATTTATTACAGAAGCAAATTTATGTGTATTTGATATATTGATATCAATATCACGAAATCCTTCTTTACTTGAATGTCGAAATGATGTTATAACTTTATCAACATTATTTATTCGAAAATCAATTAACTAAAGAAAAAAAAAGATTTGTATAGAAATTATGTGTAGATTAAAAATCAAAATTTCCTATAGCGATTAGTCAACCTTTTTTTTTCTCGAATTCCGTTAATAATAATCCATCAATGGACAGTTGCTGACAACTTAAAAGGCATTCTTAAAAAAAAAACAAGATGATAGAAGCAGAAAACCCGATATGGGACGTTGTGAGAAATCCTGGAAAATCATATATGATATCGTATAAGATCTGACATTAGGTTCATAGAAGAATCGTGGAATTCAATTTTATTAGAAACCCATGGTTTCGATCGAATTATGACACAGTTACAGCGTAACCGCGTCGTAATTGCTAAAAAAGAGACGACATGAGAGTCATTTCTAATAAAATCGGACTATACAATTCTTGAAAGATCTTACCGACACATAAGTTTTTCTATAATCTCATAATGATTATCTTACAAGGCAGCAAAGTCTTTCAAGAATCTTATTAAACAACTTAGCGTAAGACATTCGTCTAATGCTGTAAGATCAGACAAGATGAATGGCACGATTTTTATAAGACCTTACCATCCGATTGGTTTACCTGAGTGATAACTTTAAGGTTTGGATGTAAAATCATACAAGATCTTATAATGAGATTATTTAATCTGGAAGCTTTTGATTCCTACTTTATGTCATATCGATGGAAATGAGGCATACACAATCGGTTTAAGAATAACAAAAATTAAAAAGATAATTTGTTCTAGTTATACCTTTGCATATCCATCTTGAGATGCAGTTAATAATAGATTTGGATCTAAAAGACAAAAAAGAAAACTTTTTTTGTATTCTCGAATAATTTGTTTGTTTTTTATTTCAAGTTTACGTTTTGGATGAAATTGAAGACGATTAATAATTGTATTATGAATATTTAATTGATCAATAGTAATTAATCGTGTTGCATCCCAAATATATAAATATCCACTTGTACCACTTACTGTAGCAAAACAATTTTCTAAAAGAAAAAAATTTTGATTATTGTAAATAAAATAATTTTATAAAATATATAACCATCATTTGGATTCCAACTAACGTCTTTCGGTTGAAATGCATAACGTGATATAGCTGGTTGTCGTGGTGCATTACGAAAATCATGAATTTCTTTAAATTGTTCAATATTATCAATTGATTCAATAGAAAATAATTGAAAATCTATTTAAATAAAATAAATAACAACGAAAAACAAAAAAGTTATTTTTCTTTAATTGTTACTTTGTTGTCCAGCTGCTATCAATCGATTATTAGTACAATTAAGAGCAAGTGTCGATGTACCAGCACGTACAAAACAAGAAAATATTGTTTCGTGTTGATTAATATTTGTTTTACTCATAAGAGTAGATCATTTTTGTTTAATAAAAAATAAATATGAAACAAAAAAGAAGATAAATGGGAATTTTATTATAAAAATTTTAAAAAAATAAATCTAAATATTCATACTGGAAATGAGAAAAAACAAACGGAATCTAAATGTCATTTCTTTTTTCTGAAATTAAAATATTTGACTAAGAAATAATCGGGTTTTTTCTACTGTTATAAATAATGTACCAGTAGCCAGGAATGTACGAATAAGAGTTGGTAATAAACCAGCATAGAGAACCATAAAACCTGTTATATAAAAAAAAACAATATTTTATGTTTTTAAAAACTAATTCTACCTTCATTTTGTATTATTTCTAAAGTATATCTTGGAAAACTTATTGTTGGTTTAAATACTTGTATACGTGATTTAACTGCATCAATAGGAAACATAAATATCCAAAAACAAATACCAGCCATTCCACCGGATACCCATGTTTTTATAAAACCTATTCAAATAGAAAAATTGTGAATCTAAATAAACGTTGTTTTTTTTTGTTTTCTGACCAATATCTTCTTTTTTTTGATTTTCATTCATTAAAATTGTTCTTGTTAATTCATAACCACCAAAAAAACATCCATAACCAGGGCATTCTCTTATTAATGTTGTTGTTAAACCATGAAATAAACCACGTATACCTTCAGTACGTATTATATTTCGAGTAATATTATATGGTGAACTATCAAACGATCGAAAAATACAGAAAAGTCTATTAAATATTTTTTTTTTGTATTTCAAAAACAAAATAATTTACATCTTTTTATACACTGTACTTTCTCCATTCAATGTATGCATCTTTTGCATTTCATTCAATGTTTGTGCTCGACATTTGACTAATTCTGTTGGACATAAAGCTACAGATGAAAATACAGCTGCAAAACTTCCGGCTGCCATATTCTCGAATGTATTTAATTGTTCATGATCTGTTTTATGTCGTAAAAAACAAATTAAATTTTGAGACTGACCATAAGCCATAAATAAAATTCCATTCTCTAAATTTGTTTTTTTAAAAATAAAACTAATTAAATAAAAAAGAGAAAAAAAAATCTATTTCATAAAACCTGCAGCATTTGCAAGTAATGATGGTACAGTTCCAGCATATAATGCACGTAGACCATTTTCATGAAAAATTTTTTGTCCACAATCAAAAAAATGTTTATAGTGAGTCGGAAATGTTTGTAATTTGGTTTTTATTGTATCTAATGGTTGTCCAACAAAAACTGATGCTGTTGCACCTTTATTAAATATTAAAACAAAAACGAATTATTTAATTAATATGAGATGTAAATTTTTACCGGCAATTCCACTGAAAAAGTCAATTATAGCAGTGGAATTCATTTGTTTAGGAATTTCTATGCCTTCCTCTTATTCAATTAACAAACAATCAGATTGCGCTAGTGGACATTCTGATAATCAATGTCAAAAATTTGGTTGGTTTTCATATAAAAACCAATAGAATATTATATATGTGTTTTGTCTATTGTTTACTTCTACAGAACAATGGTGTACGAACTTATGAAAATGAGTATGACGAAGAATACCAATCAACTACATTATGCACTAACAGTGGCGAAATCTGGTTTATGCTGTGACACCAAACAAAAATCAATTACCATAGGGATAATATAAATCAAGTGCTCTACACAACTGTTTATTTTATTTTTGTCTAAAATGAGTTTCACATGCAAGATGTCGCTAAACTACAACTGTGGAGGTAGTTTCAAATGAGTATAGTGGAAGACTTATCATGATAATGAAATTTATGATAGTGTCACTGTAACATATGCTATCTCTGTCTAGATAAGTTCTAGTTCATTTGTATGCTATTCTTTTTATGAATTGTTTATTATCATTATTATTTCTGCTTGGTTTGCTGTGCAAGTATATGAAGTTACGTACTTATTTATTTGCTTTCTTCATTATTTTTATAAGGGCATATTGCTGCAAAGAAAATGTATTTTAACAGTATTAAAAGAGATGACTATTGAATTACAAAAATAGATTGACATAAAAAAGATCATCACACAAATGTAACAAAAAGAATAGATTGACTTTCATTTCGAATGATTGTTATTGATAAACCATTCGTTATTGGTCCTAATAGCAATATATGGTTCATTGGTGAAACAACTTGAAAACGATGAAAAACGACTGTTGATTTCTAATGATATACAATCGATAAGTCTTGATGATATTATCTACTATTACTAACGAATGGCTCGATGAGGCGAATTGTCGAAATCATAGTTCATTTCACCCCTTTTTTGTCTTTAGCTTGTTTTTTTTATTAATGTAAGGCCTCAATTAGCTTTCTTGAGCTATTTCACACACGTCAATCGACAGCTCTTATTGAAATCTATGCAACGATATGACGCCCAAATATCAGAACAGCCTCTTTGTCATGCTACACGATGATCAGCATCATGTCGATTGGCAAGTCATCGAGAAAAAGTACACATTTTCAAATATTCATCATTCGTCATGTTTCTTATTAGGTAAGTACTATAGATGATAGTGCCAATTCTTTTGTAGTCTTGCTACTCAGTAAGAAGTTTATTTGAGTGCCAGCCCTAATTCCGCTTCCTCATAACGAAAATTACAGCTTAAAAAAGATTGAAAACGCTGGAAAATGGCGGTGGTAATTCTCTTATTCTAAAATGTGTCGTTCTTGAAATCAGAATATCTTATAACAGTAAACTAATTTGTTTTGAAAGCATTATTTATTCTACTTTCACATATATAATTCTTATCTTTGTGTGTATACTCAATTTTACGCGTATAATTTGGATAAACTTTGTCATATTCATATGTATGTACGCGTCCTAATTACGTAATAAAACGTTTCATAATATTAGAAAGCACATGCAGAGTGGAAAATAAAACTGAATCGAAATAGATGAATTGAATCTCAAAATGATAAAAAAAAAACCGATGTCAATGAGACACTATACAGCGAGAATGTGACTCCAATGCCACTCATTATTGCTCGACGAAAATGACCTTAAACGGCCTCGTTTAAGGTAGTAATCATATTGTTTTTCATTATTTTAAGTATTATAAGACGTCGTGTCAGATGGTCGAAATGACCAACCTGAGATATGTGATTTATATAAGAACCCTAAATAACGATAGAAAGAATGTTCCTCCAATTTTACTACAAAGAAAAACTTAATTCTACAGTTATTATCACTAAATCATTCTCGAAGTACAGATGATTCATGTCAGATATAGAGTGTAATTGTGTTAATTCATCTGCATCATCTATTGACTTTTCTTGATAACTTTTGATGTTGTTTAAATAGGTGATAGTTTGCGAGTAAGTTGAATATGTATGTTTTGTGAAGAACTTCATTTATTAATAATCTATTCCAAAGATCGCATTGTAAACGTGATCAATATCCTATTCGAAGTTTGTTTTCGCTTTCGATAGATTTAATTATGATATATGTACTCTTCGCAATAGCTTGCGTCATCTTACATACTAGGCATTTTCTCCTCTTATATGACATTTTATAATATACGATTCGATTTATTATAATTGTTTGATAATTCAGTGTAAAATTAAAAGAATATTTCAACATCAAGAATAGAAAGAATAGCAGTGACTGTGTATTATATAAATGACATGAATGAGATGTTCTCTTTATATCACTTATCATCGTCCGCCATTATAATTTGATAGTCAACGTGAATGCCTTTACAATTATCTATACTGTTCGCGAGATGTCGCCAAATAAAATCTGTTATTTGAATCCATCAGAAGGATCTAATACACGAAAAACTACCATCTGAGATAGAGTAAATTTTCTAAAAAATCGGAGTTTTTGAAAGTAAGTTTCATCCTGAAGTACATAAATGATAAAACTCCGTTCTGTAGTCGAATCAATGATTCATACATATGTGGTCATACATTAGAAATTACTGTAGATAAAAAGGAAAAAAAAATGTTATTTCGAAAAGATCCATGTGGAATTGTTTGTATTTTATTGACATATGCAATGCTTTTGCATTGTCTCTATGTTATTCTTTTTGTTCTAATTATACCATTATTTAATGAAAGGTTATTTTCATTTTTTTTTTTTTTTAATTTAATAATAAACGATGTTTTTTCAATTTAGTTTATATGGAACATTGAATGCTTTGATTATTTGTTCTCTGATTTTTCTTTCAATTCTTTCACATGTTCGTGCAGCATATTCGGATCCAGGTTTTATACCATTACCAAAAAAAGGACTTGACTTTTCTGATGTGACAACAAATGTTGACACTAATAGTTCTTTGAAGGTAAAAAAAAAGAAAATATTATTTTACTTTGCTTTTATAATAAGTATTTTTTTCTTTTCAAGTCAAATGAAATAGGTTGGACAAGTATGTGATATATATCTAATTTTGAAGAGTATAAAAATATATTTTTGTTTTGTGTTAGTTTGTAATCGATGTGACACATATAGACCAGCTCGTTCACATCATTGCAGGTAGATTTTTATCTATGTAAATATTTTTTTTAATAATTTGTTTTTTTGTGGTTGTTTAGAATCTGCAAACGATGCGTTAGAAGGTTAGAATTTATGAATATATGTCATTATATGTTCTATTCCATTGATAAAGAAGATTTTATCTTAGACTTCTGTAGTTTAGTGTAATAGGATAGTTGTATTATTGTTGTTAAGAGAAATTTGTTCTAATAATATTGATTGACATTCTAAGAAATAATAACCAAAACGAATGGATTTTTATTGTCATCAATTTTATTTAATAATGAAATACTGAAAACTGATATATGTAAAATATTTCCCTTGCATTCTGTTTACTAACGCTTATCAATGACAGCTGACAAGTGAAATGATTTTTTTAATGGTTTATTAAAAAAAGTAACGAAACAAAAAAACGGTTTTATGAACATGCCGAAGCATCAGGAACTTTTGAAAGTCCTTCCAAATTCGAGTTTACAAAAATGTACACGCACAGTTTTTGAACATCGAGTGTTGCGAAAACAAAACAACAAGAAATAACTATGCATTGTCTTTTTACCGATAGTAGTCAATAAATAGCTAAAATCTTAATTCTTTACTCGTTCATGCACACAGAAGGCACCAGATATTGATGAAAAAAAAAAGAACTTAGGTTCGAGTTCACAAACACATTGACTTTTAGATGTTTACATTCGATATCTAAAGAGGAAATCTCTTCAGATGTCAAATCACTTTTCGACCTTGACAATGTTTATTTGATGAATAATAGAATTTCGAATCTTCAATATTTCAGCATAGGAGATACTAGAAGAATTGTAACTTGCTCAATGAACTAACCTCATTGAGAAGTAATATAGCAATCGATAGAATATAAAGTAAATAAATATGATTTCTATTTTAGATTGGATCATCATTGTCCATGTAAGTTAAATTTCATTGATGTTTTTTTTTTCTAGAAAAAGAATCTTTCCTTTTCAGGGATAAACAATTGTGTTGGTGAATTTAATCAAAAATATTTTATTTTATTTCTTTTCTATATTGGTAAAATTTAATCTTTATAATGTTTTAAAACAATTTTCTATTTGAATTTATTTTAGGATTAACAAGTCTTTATGTAATATCATTTGTTATCTGGTCATTAATTGTTTTTCCACAGTCATCTGAAGTTCAAGTGTATGTTAAAAATAACAATTTTAATTTATCTTGTTTTTTTTTTTATATTTTATTTATGAAATTCTTTCTTTCTTTTTTTTTTTTTTTGAATTTAATAGTATTCATTCTATAGTACTATGTATTGAATCATGTTTATTTGGTATATTTGTTATAACTGTATTTGTTGATCAAATGCAATCAATAATTAATGATCGTAGTTTAATTGATACATTAAAATTAAATGAAAATTCTCGAACAGTACAACGAATTTTACCATCAAAACGTATTCTTTTTCAAAATGTTTTTGGTTCTAGTAAGAATAAAATAATCATTGAAAATTTTTTGATTTGTTTTTTTGTTTAGGTCCAATGATATTATGGTTATTTCCATGTGATTTGAAAAGTTCTAATAAAATTATTAATTCACAAGATACATATTGTGTTTGAAATGTATTCAATACTTATTAATATTTTTACTAAACATATCCACGTTTAAATGTGATCTTACATTCGATTTAAAACATTTTTTTTTCCATTGCTTAGAAGTCAAAAGTATTGTTTTTTAGCTTTTTGTAACTTATTGTTAATTAGTTATCTATCTGTATAATAATTAATGCTTTTTGTAAACTTGCCTTCTTTTACAATAAAATCTCTTTCTAGATGAAATGAAAGTTGCTCTATAAAAAAAAAAGAAAAAAAGAAATCAATGGCTCAAGCAGCAGCAAGTAATTTTCGACGACGTATTCTTGGTTCCAGACAAGGTTCATCTAATGATAATTTATCAAGTGCAATAAACTCAAGTCATTCTCATAAAAATCGTACATCTATACGTATAGATCGGCGTACAATGGAAAAAATTTGGAAACAAATGGATCGTATTGTTAAATATTGTCAAATACCAAAAATGAATTTAAAAAATTCTCCACCATATATGCTTGATATTCTACCTGATTTTTATCAAACATTACGTGAAATAATAAATCATTATGAAGATCGTCTACATATATTAAATGATATAGAATATTTTCGTATATTTATTAATAATCTTATTGTATTATGTACTAAAACAATTGAATGTTTTAAACATGCTGGTCATCATATGTATAATGAACAATCAAATTATCGAAAACATTTTATTAAACTTTCATTATATTATTCACATAATTTAGCTGAATTAAAATCTTTATTTATTAATGGTATTTATGAAGGTGAACGTTTTCGTTTAACAAAACAAGAAGCAACAGATTTTTGGAAAAAAAATTTTAATGATAGGTATATACATGATTATAAAAAAAAAAAGCTTTCTTGTATTTTGTAAAAAGAAAAGTTTTTTTTTTTAGAACTATTGTACCATGGGAAGAATTTAAAGAAAAATTAAATGATGTTCATTCAATACAATTAAATAATGAATCAATTGCTTTACAAAATACTATTGATTTGACTCATAATAATCATGTATCAATATTTGAATTTGATGTTTTTACAAGGTAAAATTAAAGTAATGATAGATAGTTGCATGAGCAAGGCGCTAAGCCCACCATTAATCAAAACTATATCAGCGGAACTTTGCTCACTATCAAAATTCTAGTTACACCACTAGTTATCGATAATCATAACGTCATGTATAAGCAGAAAAGAATCCTGCGGAGTCAAATTTTTTGACTAACATCTAGATTTCTTTTCTACATCATGATGTTCTCGAGAGAGATATTCAACAAACAAGGGTAAAAAATAGCTCATTTGACAACTCAAAATTCTATAGATTGAATTTTTTTTCTTTGCAAGTGCATGTTACAATGCAGTGCCCTATTTTTTTTAAATTCTTACTTTTTATGCGGAGAAAGAAAAGATGACAAACTCAATGCCTCGAGAAACTCTCAAAAAATGATCATCTATTTATAGCAATGTTTTTTTTTTATATAATAATTAAAAAAAAAGTTTAATTGAAAAACAAAACGAGCACTGCAATTTTACATGTTCTTTCAAACAAAAAAAGTCATTAGCTACAATGAAGCCCCTTCGAGAAAACACGAAAAACATTTCCAAATTTTTCTAAAAACAATATATTTTTCAAACAAATGATAACAGAAATCATCAAAAACAAAAAATTTGGTGATGAAGGAAGGGCTAAAAAAAACAATCATGTTGTGTATGAAAGATCAAACGTCGGGCTATGAGCTCAATTTCGATTTTTCTGACGAACAATTGACTTCTTTCGAGGAAGCCGTAAACATTATGTTCACTCCAACTCCAAGTCAGGTTTCGGATCCGATATGCAGGATTCTGCATATTCTATATCACTGTAGTAGAATTTGAACATTGATAGAATTCATACTGATATTAATATCATGTTTGCTTAATATTCCTCGAATAAAACCAGATCGATAATTGTTTCATTTGTTGACTGATTATTTATTCGTCAGACAATTAAGAATCTTTCTTCAGTATTCATTTTAAAGAAAATCATAACTATATATTTCTAAATAGATTATTTCATCCATGGTCATCACTTTTAACTAATTGGAAATTATTAGCTGTAACTCATCCTGGTTTTATGGCATTTATGACTTATGATGAAGTGAAAGCAATATTAACAAATTATATTGATAAACCAGGTAGTTATGTATTTCGATTAAGTTGTACACGTCTTGGACAATGGGCTATTGGTTATGTAACAACACAAAATACAATACTTCAAACAATACCACAAACAAAATCATTGATTCAATCATTAATCGATGGAGAACGAGAAGGATAGTAAGTATTGAAATTTTATTGATTTATTTTTAATTTAATTAAATGAAATATTTTATAGTTATAAATATCCAAATGGAAAAAATATTCACATCGATTTATCATTAGCATTAAGACCAATAGAATCAAATTGTATATATGTATCGGAAGAACAATATGCAATATATTGTGATATGGGTACAAGTTTTGAATTATGTAAAATATGTTCAGTTAATAATAAAGATAGTAAAATTCAACCATGTGGTCATTTACTTTGTCAAAATTGTTTAATAGCTTGGCAGGTAAAATTATTTTATTTTTATTTTTATTGATTAAATATATAAATAAATTTTTAGAATCAAACAAGTTCTAAACCACCATCTTTATGTCCATTTTGTCGTAGTGAAATAAAAGGTTTTGAATCTGTTATTATTAATCCATTTGATAGTTCAACTATACAAAATAAAAAAGAATCAAGTTCAAATGAATTTCATGATGTAAGATAAAAAGAAAAATTTCAAAAGAATTTTTATATCTATTATATATCATTTTCTAGCAAAAATTTGATACTAATTCAAATGTTCAAAATTTACAAACACTTACAATATCTTGTTCAGTGAATAATGAAAATTATCATGGTATACAGACTTCATTAGATAATCTATCTTCTACACCACCTCCAATTCCTCCTCGTCCTACTAATATGAACTTAAATGCTAATCGAATACCAATTGATACAAAAATTAATACTCCTCAACATTTACAACAACATTTTCTACCATCACTACATAACAATGATGTTTTATTATTTTCACAACGATCTTCAAGCATAAACTCAAGACCACTTTCATCAATATCATCAAATGAAAGCTTTAGTGATTCATTTAGTAAGAATGAAAATAACATTTTTTTTTTATTTTTTTTTTCATATGTTTTTAGCTCAATCATCAACAACAGGAGATTTACAGTCTGTTAATGTTCAAAATGGTATTGATAATTATCTAACTTCAGGAAATAAAACAGCATGGTATGTCATTTAGATGAAGAAATATAAATCTAATATGCTATCTGATTTGAAATATAAATATAAATAAGAATGTGCCAAGATCGTCAGGATTGACGAAAGGATCGATTGAAAGATTTTTGCGAAAAAATATGCAAAAATTTTTTTTGAAACCTACAACGGACGTTTGATATTACCGATTTCAACGCTGCCATAAATTTTCATGTTGAGACTTTTGTTTTTAAAATTCATTAATTTTCTTCCGAAATATATTTTGATTAACCCATTGAATGAAAATTTACAATTATCTCTCAAATATTTTCATCTCATCCTTTCGATTTCTTAATCTTTTTTTTTTACGATTGAACAATAAGTTTTCTATTGTCTATTCTATTATAAATCAATTTATTGAATACTATTGTTCATAGTTAGTCGTTTAAGTGATCTGGCAAGAGAAGTATACATACACGAAAATGGACACTTGCTTGCTATGTAAATTTTACAAAGAATTTTGAATAAAATAATGAAATACAATGATATAATAAATTAATTTCTTGTGAACAAATGACCATTATCATAAACTAATTTATTTAATTGTTCTAATAAAATGACAAATTTTATTCAACGAAATATACATATACAATAAGCTACAAAAGTTTTCGTCCCTCCAGTGTTTTAACTACTTCTCAGGATGAATACGATGAATATAAAAACGAATCATAGTCACAAATAAAGTATAATACAAGGTACAAAAATACTACAAGTAATAAGTGATCCCTTTTCCCCCTAGGAACTAATCAAAGTTAATCATCACGATTTCGCTAAATGATTTAGCTGATTTTGTAGCACTCGTCACGTAGACATATATTCAGTTCATCGAGATTTAATGTTTTCGATTTTTGGACACAACATTGGAGAATCAAACAGAGATTCTTGCTTGAATTGATATTGAAAGTATTTGAGAACCAACCGATCGTTTCAAATACTTCTTTAGATAAAAATTGTATCATTACTCGAGTTCTGTTTTTTGGAACTCCAGTCTTTCTCTAATCCCGAAGATAGGCAGAATTACCTTCTGAAATTGTGGATGAATTGATCTGCAATGGTTTGAACTTAGTAGTGGTCATTGATATACTCCTGCACGAAGATCAGCCTCTCGTTTTTCGAAATTCGCTTGATGCCGACTTTTGAATTCTTTGGCCGTCGATGAATCACCTTTCTGAATAATTCGTGCGAGGCTCTACTAATTAAAGATTATTCGGCTTCAATTTTTCCCTTTGTATTGAATTGATCCCTTGCCACTTCCATCTTTTTGCTTTCGCATGGTGACATTGCATCGTACAGAGAGCTAAATATTCCAGCAACCAACCCGTTCAAGTCGACGTTGTATCTTTTACAGAGATACGGATCTACTTCGGTCATCAAACGGTTTTGCATCAGTATTCTCGACGTTGTCTGATTCGTTTGTCAAATCAACTCGTCGGAGGCTTTATTACTCAGCGACAATGATATTGCGAGATCGTTCATTACAATACCTGTCCTAAACAGTACTATGTTTTCTTCTATCTAGGTGATATTGTATTTGATAGTCCCATAGATGATCTACGTCAAACGAGCAATTGCGACAGGTGATCGATTGTTGTTTTTCCATGTCTGTAAAATAGCTTATAGCTTCGCTTTCAGTGAAATAGAACATCATTGTCGAGATACTTTCTCTCAAAAGGACAAATGTTGATGATGATCTGCGGTTTGCATAGCTACATATCGACCATTTGCATCTTACTCAATATAAACCTCATAAACTAACAGAATGACCTCACAAAAAGCAATTATGTCAGTTACTATATCAAAAACCTCCAATAATGCATCTTTATTAATATACAATGGCTATTAATATATAATTGTTCAAAAAAGTGATACAAAAATTCTTTAGAAATATGAATACTTTAGAAAATACGCATATCATGGATGATTAAGATATCGGTGAAGAGAAGACCTACATTCTTCGTAAGTAAATGGCCTAGACTCATATTATTCCTTTGTACTTATCCATGATTTAATTTAGATAAAAAAAAAATTTTTTTTTTCTTAATATGAAAAATATATTCTTTATTTTTTTTAGTTATTCTTCTAATCTCAGTATTAATAAAATGGATCAATTTCAAACAATAGATCATATACGTAATCGTTTAACATCTGAAAATAATTTTGATCCAAAACGTATTGATGCTGCTTTAACATTAACTGAAGGTTTATCATTATCTAAACAGTATAAAATGGCTAAATTATTTCTTAATCAAGTCAAATATGAACAAGCGCAATTATTAAATCATAATAATACTTTTATTAATGGTTTATTAGTAAATGAAATTAATTAAATTTGCCTTCATGATATTTCTTTTATCAACAGTATATCAAACAATTCGGTTTCTTTTTCTTCGGGAAAAAATCTTTGATATTTTTTTTTTTTTATTATCTTAATAATAATATTTTTTTTTCTCTTTGAACCTGTCTCTTTTAAAATAGAGACTGTGAATTATTTGATAACAGATATAATTTATGTATGCGTGTGTGTGTGTTTTTTTTTTTATATTTATGCTCAAGAAAAATTCCTTGCATAATAAATATTTGAATTTCTAGATAATAACAATTAAAAGAATGAAAGACGATATTCCAAGTGAGCGTCTTTTTTTCTTTTTTATTGTTTGTAAATTAATAATCTTAATTTGTTTTTCTTTTATAGCAACGTGTGTTGCTGCTGTTTTCTCTGATATTGAACCTGGACCACAAGTATAATTCCTTGATATATTTATATTATTGATTGATTATGTATGTTTAAATTTTCTAGTTGAGAGATATTGAAAAATTTATGCATGATCATGGTGGTCAACCGGAATTAGATTTTAGTACGGATGATTTGGAAAGTAAAGTTGAATCGATTATACGTGAATTAAGAAATGTTCTTAAAGAAACAATACCTGAAGGAGGTAACAAAAAAGAAAGATTTAATATTTTTGTTTTATTACGAAATTATTTTTAATTATTAGAAATGGAAATGTTTCTTAATTCGGTTATGAGTTTAATTTTACTTGTACCAGAAGATAAAATTAATCGACCAATTTTAAATTTTTCTGAAGCTATTATTAATGCTAATTTACCAGAAAAATATGGACCAATGAAACTTCGAGTGTAAATATTAGAAATTGATTTTTAATTTAAAATAGAAAAGAATTTTATTTTTTTTTTATTTTTATAGATTAACTAATTTAATTTATGTTGTACCAGAACGTAGTAATACGGATAAATATAGAATTTTGATTGATTTAATCAAATGTGCTCGAAATCATCGATGTATTAATGCTGTTTCAGTTGGAATTAATCAGGTATACTTATATGTAAATAATATCATTCAAACAATTTAATTTAAAATAAAATATCAACTAACATTTCGTATTGTTGAATGATGAGTACAGAAACTTCAACACCGAAAAATTAAGCAAAATAAGAAGTCTTTTGAAGAGAAGAAGTAAGAATATTCCTGCTTTTCGGCTATCTTACATTATAAGAGTCGGTGTATTTCACAACGTAGTCAACATGTTATCGAATGGGTCATTCGAGACAAACAACCGTTAGTGGCTTGCCCAAGATTGTTACATGTCTGATGGTACCAAGGTTTAAACATAGAACCTTGTTGATATGTATTATACTACATAGCTATTCAGCCATGGCAGTTGTCTTTTGAAGGATCAATAAATATATCAGAGAGCAAAACGAATAAGTAAAACTTCATTCGGAATCGAGTTGTATCGTATTATTAATTTCTTCGATTCTATTTCGGTCCCTAGAATTTATCTTTGAATGAGATCAAAGACTAAAATTTCTATAACAAAACATTAACCTTCTTCTTATCAGAAATCTTATTGAATAGAAACAAAACAATCACTTACTGTTACAAACACATCACAGGATATTTTTCTATTTGATATTCATAATTCTTCAATATAGTGACAACATTAACTCACAATACAACAAAACAAAACATCATGTTAAATTAATGTTTGGTACAACATTTCTGCATTAATTTTGTTTTCAATACAGCGTGACAACAACTCGTCGTGAAGATTTGACTATAGGGCATTGTAAATAGATATCAGTCGAAAATTTGAAAATTTTCGATTGACTTCGAAATCGATATTTGTTAGCGAAAAATATTCACATCTAATAAATGATTTCGATAAATAAGATTGTTTTCAGTAATCGAAGTCAATGAAACTCAATATTTTAGAGTTTAGTGATCTTTTTTACAAAAGTACATTATATAAAACAGAATATTACACATTATAAGAAAAACTTCATTGGATTTTGAGGATGGAAAATCAAGTTTTTAATAAAACCTTTTCCTATGGAATTTGTGGTTTTGTAGCTTGAATATTTTGATTCCATTAAAAAAGTTAACATATTCTTAAAACTTTTCAACCTTCAGAAAGTATTTTGAACGAAATATTTTTATACAGTTTTGTTTTTTTTCTAACAAGAAAACTATCGAGTCTCCTCGACAAATTATTATTACACTATACTGAAAATAAAATTAATTCAAAAATTTTGTACTTTTGCTGAATCTCGTTCACAGACTTCATACTTACCTTGATTATTTTTTTTTGGTTTAACGCTACTACGGTTTCTTCGTATTTATTTCTTTTATGTTCATCATTCGGATTTCTCAACATTGTTTTTTTTTAATTTTAGGTTAAAAAATGGGTCAAAGAATGGAAAGTATCAACTGAACAAGTACAAGAACTTTATCGTAACATGCATGAAGCATATGCAGCTACTGGAGATTCGTATGTACTTTTCTTTTTTTTTTTTTAAATATGAAATTTCATTTTTATTTTCAAATTATTTTATTTAGTGCAAATGCATTACAACTTTTACTGGAATTACTTGGTACATATACAAAAGAAACTGCATCAAAAGCTCGTACAGATGCATTCAAGTAGAATTTTTATTAGAAATAATTTTATTTTCATTTGAAATATTGTTTTGTTTTTATTACTATAGATGTATTATTAATAGTATCAATGATCCAAATGTTTTTATCATGGATCATTTACTTTTACTTGAACCAGTAAAAGTTCTTGAAGGCGAAAATATTCATAATGTAAATTAGAAAAAAAAAAAAAAAAAACTTATTCATTTAGTTATTTAAATTTTTTCGTGTTTGTGTTTTTTTTCCAGTTATTAAATATATTTGTTTCGGGTCGTTTACAAGATTATTTAGAATTTTATAGTAAACAAAAATCCTTCATTGAATCATCAGGTAAATATATAAAAATTCTTTTTTGGTTTTTTATTTTGTAATTTAATATTTAGGTGTTAAACATGATCGAAATATTACAAAAATGCGTTTATTAACATTCCTTCAAAGTGCTGAAAATCAAAAAGAAATACCATTTGATACAATTGAAAAACAAATGCAAATAACAGCTGATGAAGTTGAATCATTTATAATTGAAGGTTAGGAAAAAATAAAGAAAATTATCTTTCTTTTTGAAAAAAAAATTGAAAAATTTTAATTTCAATTTTTTTTTACAGCTGTTCGAACGAAAATGATACGTTGTAAAATCGATCATCTTGCTCGTAAAGTTATCATTGATAGTACAGTTCAACGAACATTTACTAAACAACATTGGCAATCATTAAAAGATAAACTTGAATTATGGAAAACAAATTTATCTATGATTAATGCTAATCTTACTACATTAGTGGCAACACAAGGAACAACAAAATAAAAAAAGAAAGCTTTCGTTTGTTCTCTTGAAATTACAACACTATATTAAAACAAAATATATTCATGAAAGATAGTTGTTGTTGTTATTGTTTTTATTGTTAAACAAAAAAAAGTCAACGACTATTTTTAATATAAGCAAAAAAAAAAAGAGAAAAAAGTTTTATCATTCATAACTAATATGTTTCAATAATTTGCTCGAAATGAAAACAAACAAACATTATATGAAGATAAAATATATATGAAAATTTTCTCTAAATTAAAGTGCTGATGAATGTTTGTGCTAGATCTCAATGATGAGAACTATCAATATTACAAAATTGATTTTTGCATTTTTCTAGAAGAGTAACGCTGTAATTTTAAACAATATCAACAACAGGTTTTTATATCAAGTTAAAATACATGGAAAATTGAATTTATCAATACTAGATTATGACAACTTTCCTGTGTCGAATTCAGGAAATTTCTAAAATTCTAGGCCATATCAGCAGAGAAAAATTCTTTTTCATTAAGCAGTTCAAACTAGATCTCATTTAAAATGATGAATATCAAAAAAGTACTGAATACTTGCTGTAAAAATCAAAAATGAAACCGAAGAAAATTGCTATCAGAGACTGAATACAATCGTTATGAAGAAGAAATTCTAAAAAAAAAGAAAACATACTTCACATGCTTTGACAAACATTAATCTTTTTGAAGTTATTTTATCCTCGTGCTGTATTTTAAATGAGTTCTAGTTTGAACTGTCTCATGAAAAAAAATTCGTCTCTGCTGATATGCAATGGAATTTTAGAAACTTCCTGAATTTGACATTAAAGGCTTTTTTTAGCGTTTATCGTATAGACGGTAAGGCTTGAGTAGGCCTCAACACTATTCTCCTTCTATCAGATTGAGAACTTTGAGTATTGCATCACAATTCTTTTACAAACTTTAAATAGTTTTCGCCACTTTCGGTGGTTAATAATAACATTTTCTTCGTCCGAAAACATTTTTTTGAAGAAACGTTGAGTTCTATATAAGTAAATATTGGATTATACATTGTGGCAATGAGTTCAAGCGAGAGTCGTTTATTACAAAGGCAGAACAACTGCACGGACTAAATTCATTAGAATCTGCCAGAATTTTCTTTATCTGTTTTTGTGAACATTTCTGCTGCTTCGTTATTAAACTTTGTTTTTCCAAGTAAAGCAGATCAGAAACTCTTCTTTCGAAAGTGACATGTTTCTTCCAAATGCACGAGACAACTTACAATTTTTTGCTTCGGATCTACACTATTATTATACGCTGTGAAATTTGAACTCGAAAAAAGAAGTACTAACTATATTTCATTTGAATAGTATGAAAAAAAACCTCGTCTTAACTTTCAGATGTGGATCTTATCAAAAAATTTTGAATCAATCCTAGAATCAGAATGTTTTGCTGAATTTTTTAAAGTTTTTTTTTGTTTGTTTCTATGATCACAGAATATAATCAATGCATTGCTCATCCAAACTGATCATGATGAATAACGAGATCTTTCTCCAACAGAAACATATATTCAATTAACACATTCAGCCCGATTCAGTTTTATTACAGAATAACTCTAGCAGATTCATTTTTGTGTACTTTCGTTGTCCTTTTCATTCTGTGCTAGCTCGTTATTTTCTCTTTTCTGATTGGTATATCATATGGACAGTTATATCTATGCATTACATATTCTATATTGGACTTTTCCTAATAATATACTCATTTACGTCATACTTGATACTTTCCAACATGCTTATATATGTTTGTGTCGGTGCTTCTCTTCTTGTAGTCATTTGCTATTACATTCACTAGTTCTCTTGCTAATCTTATTCTTCCCTTTTCTTTTTTCTATTGTAAAACTTCATTTATGACGTTGAGATACGTATATCTTGATTGTTTTAACGAGAAGCATCATGCTATGGAATAAAGGACTCAAAAAATACTGAAGACAGAGGAGGTGATACATTATATGTAACCTCCTGCCTAAGTAAAAGGCGAAAGGAAGCAGTTTTCTATAGTTTCTTCTTAAAATATAGTATGATCCACCAATAGGTCACATCGGATTGAATGTATTAAAATTCCTTTGTTATAACTTAAAATCGTGCTATGATTATGCATTTTCTTCTAAAAATCTCGACATGGAAAAACAGCTCTCTGAGAATACATGTTGATGCACGTTCTTTATTCGAAATAGACTTAACGAGTCTTAAAAATACTCTCAACATGTCACTCTTTTTTTTTACAATTTGTATCTTAATGGATAATTCTATTCATTTTAGTAAGATCTGAATTAATAACTACACTCGTAACAGATTTCACTTTAAATGAATTTCATCCACACTAGTCAAATCTTCATATAAACAGTTGACTGATTCTACGACGATCTATGATCAAATGATAAAGCTCAATATTATCGATTTATTATACTTCAAGAAGTACACCTGTATTGCCAGTAATTTTGTTCTTCAATTATTTCAATAATGATTAATCATCTTACTCCAGTGTTTGAGATCAGTTCTAAAAACTATTGACTTTTATTATCATTTCGAAATAATTTTTATTGAAAATAAAAGATCATACAATTAAAAATGAATGTTTGAAAAAAACAACTTTAGAATTCTTAAATTCCAAGATGTCTTCATTGAACTCTCAGATATAAAATCGTTGGATTATGTCAAATCAGAAAGATTTATTGACTTTATTATTTTATTCATATTCAAAATTTTTCTATTCGTAACATTTTCTTTTTCACTTCGCTGATTGTTTTTTTTTTCTATTGAAAAATTCCATATCATTTAGCACCATTGTATGAAATTTTTTATTTTGAAGATTAATTTTTCATAACAAAAAGCTCTTAGATAACACATCGGATCATAATTCATTTTTATATCCATTTAAAATGAATGTGAAAATTTAACAGCTGTGTTTATTTGTTATTCATTTCTATATCGTCAATTGTCACACATATCTATCTTTTTTCTTTTTTTTTGCATAACATGTGTGTTCATTCGTCTCGCTTGTGAATTCGTCTACTGTAAACAAAGATACGTTTATTCTATTCGTCTATTTGATTTTTCAAACGGCTTCATTCTTTCGGATATAAAGGACAAACAAAATTACGTATCTATATCATTCGTTCTGATATTCTTATCATCGGCAAATCTCTGTATAATATTGATATCATGCGAGACATTCATGTTTCAACAATAACAAATGGAAATGATCTTAATGAAAAAGATGTATTAATTGTAAGTTTTATCTTTCATTTTAAATTAATATTATTTATAATCAATTAATAAACATATTGATAGTAGTAGTGTGAGTTTATTTTATAATTTGTTTTTTGATTAAGGATGAACATGTTAAATCAATAAAAAATGATGAACCACTTTTACGTGATAATCCTTCACGTTATGTTTTATTTCCTATTAAATATCATGATATATGGAAATTTTATAAACGTGCATTAGCATCAATATGGACATGTGAAGAAGTTGATTTAGCTAATGATATGAATGATTGGTTACGTTTAACAGCCGATGAACAATATTTTATTAAACATGTCTTAGCTTTTTTTGCTGCTAGTGATGGTATTGTTGGCGAAAATTTGGTATGGAAAAAATTAATTTTTGTTGAAAAATGTCTTTTTATTTTAATTCTTAATTTTTAGGTAGAAAAATTTTCATCGGAAATTCAAATTCCCGAAGCACGTTGTTTCTATGGTTTTCAAATTGCTATTGAAAATATTCATTCAGAAATGTATAGTTTACTTATTGATACATATATTAAAGATCCACGTGAACGGTATGATTAAATTTAAATATATATGTTATATATTTTTTTGTTTTTCGTAGAGATATGTTATTTAATGCTATTTCAACATTACCTTATGTAAAAAAGAAAGCTGATTGGGCTATTCGTTGGATGAATGAAAAAACTCCATTTGCTGAACGTTTAGTTGCATTTGCTTGTGTTGAAGGGATTTTTTTCAGTGGTTCATTTGCATCAATTTTTTGGTTACGTGAACGTGGTGTTATGCCTGGTCTAACATTTAGCAATGAATTAATTAGTCGTGATGAGGTTAGTTAAAAATTTTAATTTGAGAAAGATCTAATTATATTGAATAAGAATATTTGTGTAATTTATAAACTTGTTTTTCTTGTCAAAGTCCTTATTTTCTATCTATCAGATGGAAGCGATTAGATTTCTGGAAGAAAAATTTTCGTTGATTCTTATTTCTCGATTAAGAAAATATCACTACAGTAAGGCAGCGTCTCATCATTTTACTGTTAGTCGTTTCTATTAATCCGTAATTAGCACAAACCAGATAGATTATGTAAGTTCAATACATAGGGGAGAAACATTCACATAACACTCGAGAAGATGTGAGTGAGGCATTCGAGTCCTAATGGCCAAACTGCCATGCTTCATGTCATTTTTTATGTGACTGTATGTTTAAGAGAAAAAATTTTAGTCTTCGAGTATATTTGATTTTAAAATGTTATTTTTTTTTAGGGTTTACATACAGATTTTGCTTGTTTATTATTTGAACATATTGTTCATAAACCAAGTGTTGAACGTATTGAAGTAATTCTTCGTGATGCTGTAAATATTGAAATTGAATTTCTTACTGATGCTTTACCATGTTCACTTGTTGGAATGAATGCATCAGCAATGGCACAATATATTAAATTTGTTGCTGATCGTCTATCGGTTGAACTTGGTTGTTCAAAAGTATGTTTAGAATTTGGTTTGAAAGACAAAAAAAAAATTGTTTTTGTTATCTGATAGATTTATCATTGTGATTGTCCATTTGATTTTATGCATAATATTTCAATAACTGGTAAAACAAATTTCTTTGAAAAACGTGTTGGTGATTATCAACGTGCTGGTGTTATGGCTGCAACATCTGAACATCAATTAACACTTGATGCTGATTTTTAATCTGATTTCTTTTTCCCATCGAATCGATTCAAATCTTCAATGTATAAATTTCTTTTTTTCTTGGTCTATAGACGTCTGTCTCTGTATTGTATTTTTCATTCATACTTTGTATGTTAGTATGTCTAATAACTTTAGCGAATGTAAAATATGTATAAATTATGAAAATATGATCAATGAAATAAAGAGTAGAATTAGTAATATACTATATATATATATATATTTGCTTTTATGTTTAAAAAAGAATTTGCACTTTCGAATACAAGTCACCATAGAATTATCTACTATAAAAGTCGTAGAATTTGAAAAAAAAAGCTTTTAATAGAAAATCATGAAAAATCTGGAAATCTTCAGCTTAATCCTGAAGCACTTATATATCTTTATCGCTATCTGCGTTCTGAGATATACGCTCGATATAGTTTTTATAAACATTATATATTGATTATCCATGTAATGCGAACCAGACATTAGCCATCAGTAAACTACTGTTCGGTATAATGTGCGCAATACCAACAGTAGTTCGATACTTAAACGATTGACTATCCTCTGATAGCCATTCTACTGCGGTATGCCGACGACAGTGCGAATAAACGTGTGACATGGACATTAATGAAATGAAATGTATAAGTATTTACGCTTATGAAATTTGCTCGATTAAGATCAACTACATTTACTTCCGCATAATTCGAAATATTGATATTTTTCGTATTTGTCTTGTTTTCATCGAGATATAGCGCATTGGATTCTGTTCATATTATTCGAAACGCAAGTAGAAGTCACCTTTGAAAGTAAACGGATAACTGCTCATCTCTAGTTCGGACACGATATCATAACTTTTCATATGGAGCAGTTTGAAAAAAAACAAACACTAGAGATAATGTATTTCATGATATTAAAAAATCAAACATTGATTTCGATCTTCGAAAATTTTTATTCAAAAAATAATCTCGTACTCAAATGGTTAATTAAGATGATTCTTGTTCATTAAATTGAACATAATATATATTAGAAATGAATAATTAATGTTCAAACGACAACAAAGATAAGAAGCAGAAAAGAACATCAACTAGTGTATCATCATAAACAATTTATTTTGTATTCATAGAATCTCTAAACAACTCTCCCGTTCATTTATATGTATTTAAAAAACATTTCAAATGATCCATAATATCAATATTTATTAAATATCTTTTATATGATTCGTCCACGTAAAAGAAAAATATTAATCATACTTATCGACGTATTTTATTTTTTTTTGTTTTATTTCATTGTATAAGCCGATCGATTGTCTTAAAAACAAGGACACCTGCTTTTTCTTTTCATTGTGTTTCTTGTTTCAAATTACACGACTACTTTGAAATATGAGCAAACTGATTATCTATCTTTTTATTTTATTTTTTTCGTTAGCAATTACTATTAATTGTAAACGATCGGTAGAATGTGAATTACCACCTGTAGCAGGTCCTTGTCGTGGAATGTTTCCATCATTTTATTTTAATCCATCAACAAAACAATGTGAAGAATTTATTTATGGTGGTTGTCAAGGTATAGGAACAAAAAAAATATATTTTTGTTTTCGAATTTGAAAAAATAAATTTCGTTTTTTTGTTTTTTTTTAGGAAATGCAAATCGTTTCGAAACTAAAAGAAGTTGTCTTACAAAATGTGGAGAGAAAAATGAAACAATACATGAAGATGAATAAAACTCTGTTTTATCTTTGTTATGTAATTTGAAATCGATCTTAATATTGAATAAAATAAAAAAACAAGGATTTTAACGAAAGATGTCACTAACTTTCAGTTTTTCAGAAAATTCTTATTATTGATTGGTCAGAAGAGTATTAGTCAAAGCTTTTTTCCATGTGCACGTAAGTTTACTTCATAGTTTCATCATATATTATTCGAACTTGAATGCGCAATTAATAAAACTATATCTATATTAATAATGTGTTATTAATTTAGGTCGGTAATATTTGTGTATATTTACTATTGATTTTGTTTTTATTTTTTGTTTTTGTAGAAATATAAATTCAATATGCCAGAAGAACCAATTCCATCATATACAATTAAAGATGTTTGGGCACATAATGTTGAAGAAGAATTTCGTGCTATAAGAAAATTGATTGTTAAATATCCGTATGTTGCTATGGTTAGTTTTTTTTTTTAGAGATAAGATTTAATTGTAAATTATGATGTTTATTTTTTTTTTGTTTTTAAGGATACGGAATTTCCTGGTATTGTTGTTCGACCTTTAGGGGAATTTAAAACAACAGCAGAATATCAATATCAATGTTTGAAATTAAATGTTGATTTTTTAAAAATTATTCAATTAGGTTTAACATTTATGGATAGTCAAGGAAAAAGTCCACCAGGTGTTTGTTCATATCAATTTAATTTTAATTTTAATTTAGCGTAAGTATTTTATTTTATTTTTTCTATTTCAATATTAACAAAAATTAAAAGACGCCAAAAGTATCTAATCTTGTTAGTCTCAATATTTATATAAATGCAGATTTGTATTTAATAATATTGACTATTGAAATTGAAGTTTCAAGAGAAACGAATATTGTATTCAATACTCAAAACTTATTTTTGTCAAATTTCAGTCTTTGCATCTTCTTATTGTTATTTTCGAATACTCGAACTTATGCTTCTTCTAAGATTGAAATTTAATAAAAATCAGTTTCGAGTATTGAATATGAATATTCATCTCTTTCTCTACAATTAAATAATATTTTTCAAAAAAGTATGTAGAATTTTTTTTTCTAACTATATGATGAGTAAGATCGAAAGAAATATTTGAAAGACTTGATGCTTTTGACATATTTCAATTTTTTATAGACTTTTCTGAATTTTTTAAATCTAATTTCATTGCAAAAATATCGTCTGATTATATCAAAAAGAAAAAAGAAAACATTTTGTTCAAACTTCAAATAGTCAGCGCTTGATCATTTTTTAGAATTTTAATATTTCTCTTTTATCATCTTCGTTGAGAGTCCATATTATAAAAGAATCGATGATTCATATAAATTTTCTTAATAACTATTTTTTTTTTGTGTCTAGAATGGATATGTATGCTCAAGATTCTATTGAACTTTTACAAAAATCTGGTATACAATTTAAAAAACATGAAGAAGAAGGTATTGATCCACATTTATTTGCTGAATTATTAACAACATCAGGTGTTGTCTTTATGGAAAATGTAACATGGCTTTCATTTCATGCGTATGTATTTCATTTGAAGATAAGATGATGTTTTCTATAGAAAGATTTCTAAAAAACTGGACACAGTAGTTTTCAGGTTTCAGAAGAGTATTTTTTTTTGTTAACAATGCCATTGGCTATTGAAATTATTATCTAAATTTAAGCAACATTATAGAAATTATTGTTAAACATTTTTCTACGATCTTAATATTTCTTTTTTTTTTTTATATAGTGGTTATGATTTTGGTTATTTATTGAAAATGCTTACGGGAAAATTATTACCAGATACTGAAAGTGAATTTTTTGAATTATTAAAAATATTTTTTCCAACTATTTATGATGTCAAATATTTAATGAAAAGTTGTAAAAATCTTAAAGGTGGACTTGAAGAAGTGGCTAAACAACTTGAAGTAAATTATTTATTTATTTATTTATTTATTTTGTATTATTATTTGATTTCTATTTTAGATTGAACGTATTGGTCCACAACATCAAGCTGGTAGTGATAGTTTAATGACAGGTTTAGCATTTTTTAAAATGAAAGAATTATTTTTCGAAGATTCTATTGATGAAGGAAAATATTCAGGACATTTATATGGTCTTGGACATTCAGCATTTCCAGCTGGTGGATTTGTTTATGAAAATGAACCTGTGAATGTGGTTGAAAATGAAAGTCCGTAAAGATCTTGCATCGTATGTTTCTGTTCTTTTTTCTTTTTGTTCATTTCGCTAGCGTTATGTATGTCATTTTAATTGTTCTCTTTTTCTTTTTTGCATTGATTTGTTGTTATGTGCTGTCATGTGTACAGAAGAGCCGTGAAAGATCGAAATAATAGAAGAAAGAAAAAAAAGAAAAATAATTCCCATAAACATAATGATCAAAGACAAAAAAAAAAAAAAACTAAAACTTTTTTTTCTTATTATTTATTTTGGTGATAATGAAACGAACAAGTCTTGAAATAGTCTACTTGATAAATGATTACTTTCAACTGAGAACACGATGGTTGAATAGACAATAGTTATAAGTGAAATATTCTAAGTTGATTTATTTTGTATCAGTTGTTTCTAATAGGAATGATAAATTTTGTAATCTATAAATGAAGTTTTCAGTTTTGCTCCAGAATCTTAGTTTTATTGAAGAAGTACAGTTGTATTTAGTTGAAATTTTTTATTCTATCCATCAAAATGTTTCTATTCTTGTGACTTGCATGTTTTACTATGAGTAGTATAATAATTCAAACTTGAATTCAATGATCGAAATCAGTTTCGTGTAACAATAATTCAACTGTTGAGTTGTACTTCAAATTAGTGTAGATATGTGTCTAAATATTGCTAAAATACTTTGAGACTTAAAACTTCAAATATTCAATTATTAAAGATTTCAATAATTATATTTGAATTTCAATTAATACATGTCCAACGTTCAGAAATCATTATCTAGAGTTTCTGTCTTGACGATATTCAAATGAGTAGAATTTGTCATTCAACAAGTCAATTTTTTTTTCTGCTCTTATAAGAATATACGTTATAATGTTTCGAAAAAACAAATCGATGCTATTGAAAAGTTTGCTATCGATTTATTTCGTCGAACTTTTCTAGTTCTTCTCCAAGCACATCGATTATAAGAAATTGCAGTTAAAGTATGTGAACAACTCCTTGAATATAGTTGTATGTTTGCAGGCTCTTTACACTTCCAGAAAATTAGAGTGTTTTAACTCTATTCAGTGTGAAGATATGAAGTTCACAGGATAAACAAATCTATAAGTTAGCGTTTTCGAATCAACAAAAAAAGCTTCGCTGGCTCAATTTTTCATCGTTGATTTATTCTTCTAACTCATTTTGTGGCATGTTTTTTTACTTGATAAAGAATACTGTGATTTGTTGTTCAAATATTTCAGAAATGCTCATTCTTGACAAGCATAAATCCAACTAGAACTCCGTAAAAAGAGTGATCTCAACCAAAATTCAATCAAACATCGAGAAAAACATATATATTTATTGACAATCGAGAACACTCTTTTCAGCAATGTGCTCCACTTGAAATTTAGAGATACACTTCCATTTTTTACACAAAAAACATACAACTAGCATGCAACTAATTCATATACTTGCTAAAAAATGTGAGAGAAATACTTTTGCTTAATTTCCTTTCAGATTCATGATTTCATATTCATAGCATTCTACAAGAGTGATCGCATTTCATATAGACATTCAACTAAGTTTCAATATATCACATTTATATAAGAAAATATGTCGCACAAGTCACTATTTGTTTAGTATATTATATGTTACAGAATCAAAATAAAAGAGTTTTATAGAAAAAATTGATCAAGCACAAATGTGTGAAATGAAGACAAAGAAAGATGTTTTCGAATTTCGGCTTCTCGAATCAGTTATAATTCAAAGTGTACTGTTGATCATCATAGAAAACGATCGAGTTCGTCTTCGCTCATAAGCCATACTGTTTTATTGACATTTTCAAAACCGTATATAACTATTATAGCATTGTATGTTTCTAATGCAGCAGATTCATTACCAGCGCCCCACTTTGTCCGCATCTCTACTATGTTACCAGACCAGAAAGGGACATGATGAAGAATTTCTATACCAAAATGACGACGCGAGAAGTTATTGTACATTTCTGTATTTAGAATATGGTGATGCCATGCCTTGTCGACCATCGGTGATGGTGCACGCATTCCATTATTAGTATTTTTGAGAAATGTGTAAAAGTGTTCCAATTCGATAATGGTATTAAGTGTATCTTCAGGATTCATGTGCTCATTCACATACAGACGTTCACTGAGATAAAGTACCTCCGTATTTGACAATTGAACTTCATTCAATGTGGACATTGGGGATAGTTCATCGTGTGCTGTTGTCATTATAATGAATACGACCTCTATGAACGTCCAGAAAAAAATGCATTGGAGTTTATTCATTTGCAACGATGAATCACAAAAATTCCTTATTTTGTCTAGAAAAAACACATTTAAGATCGAAAAAAAGATATTCAGTAAGTGAAATTAATCGAATGTGTCATCAACTATCCTTATTTATATAAAAACAAGTATGACTTCGATGTGCTTCTCGTTAATATCGATTCATGTAGGTGATCTGATCGTTATGCATGATTGATTACATGATGCAATGATTGCAATCCGTTCTTAATATTCTATTCAAACACTCCGATCGATCACGTCATGATGAATGACATCATCAAAGCGTATATTGAGGATTTTACATCAAGCAAACCTGCTGATTCGTAGATAAACAAGAAAAGATAACATGCATATTTTGGCATAAAGACTCGTTTCTTTTTTTTTCTGCCACTAAAACGAAGGAAAAAATATAGTAGATAATACAAAAGATGTCATAATTCATCCATATGTTAAGATCTCCTTTTCAAGATATCTCCTCATCATATTGTATGACCTATTTTTGTCCTTCATTGATGACTATGCTTTGACGTACATACTTAGTGACGTCAAAAAATAAA